CCATTATTGAGTTACTTGACTCACCATTGTTTGGTTGATTCATTTGGCGATTGATTGACTGAATCTTCTGCAATATAGAGGTATTAAATATTTTTTAGATGCGTTTATAGAGTATTGTGAAATGAATGCTGTTGAACAGAAAATCTGTAGTGGAGGAGTACATCACTTATTTTCCTAACTGTTTAGCCACTGCAGAAAAACCTAACTTATCTCTTCAATTTAAATGGTACTGAATTTGATCAAATGATAGACATTTTAAGAAATGAGTTATCAACTGATAAAATGCAGCTGTTTGGATTGCGTGTTGCGTTTTCTTATCCATTATCTGGTGACGTGTTTCTCCGGTTGATGCCTGGCGATTGATTTGGAGAATCTCCACCATATTTGGTTTCTGATTTGTCTGCTGCCAAGCAACGCTTTGTGCGTGGGTTTCTGTGGACAACTTCAATCACGATAGCTTGATTACCTAACTGGTTCCTTTGCCGTTTCATTCCTACAACCCGTTCAAACAGTTGGAACAGATTTAATTCAATGGGTAAAAATTTCCCAGACGGTAAATACATCTGGATTGGGATGTACTGTAAAACTAAAGGAGAGGTATCTATGACCCAGTTCTGTGCTCCTCGTTTTATGGAGCAGAGAAGAAGTATATTCACTAACTCATCGACTATTGTAACTTGATTTTAAGAAATCTTACGTACTTTTAAAGTATAAAATACAGAAAAATTGTAATCGATTTGTTTATGTTCAAAACCGTGCTGTGCGAGTCAGATTTGTCAATCCGAAGAGCAGTGTAGACAACATAATCTCTGACTAGTGTTGTTTGTTACTTAAAAACGTTTTACCTCTCCCCTTTCGAATTACATCAGTACGTGTTTCGCTCAAAGCAGATGAAATCCTTTCTGTGTTGGGGGATAGGGAACTAGGTGTTGTTTATGTCACCGTCATTGTTCCGTGCTTCGTGCTTTCTTGTTTTGTTGTCTTTTTATATGTTCGGTCAATTGTAATGCGCGCCAACTGAATAACTTGCCGTGTGGCTGAGCAACAACGATCTAAAGCATTCGAACCGACGGCCGGAAACTATACCTTTTTCAATTTAGGATATCCGAATATCAATTTAAGATGTCATGTTGCTATATATATAGTATGATAACACGATTACCCATCGTTTCACATTGTCTTGTACTTTTTTGTAATGACCTTGTTTTCACGTACTGTCCATCCGTGTGGTGAAGGTACGTCTGCTACATAGTCGAAGTTCACTGGGCCTACGACACAGCTGTAGACAAGGTGTGGTTTCTCGCTCGGATTAGCTGGGCAAGCACCAGGTCCCTTGTTGCGGCTGAACCATTCGAATGTTCGAATAATTGAATCCGATCGGTCGTGTCCTTTTCGGGCCAGCATAGGAGAAGTTCTGAATCCGATGCTGCTCAAGTGTGGTAGAGAATCATCACAGGAGAATCAGTTATAGAACGATGCGCCATGTGGGAAATTCGGAGTGGAAAATGCTCAAGCCGTGATGACACTGGGCCAACGTTTGACTCGTCTAAAATACACAAACTATTTTACTAAACGGGTTCTTTAAACGGATAATCATAATGAAACTTTGAACTTTTCTTAAGTACGGACTAAAATATCCACTAGTATAGGTCCAATCAAAACTCTTTGTGGCATTTCCCCAACTTCCTTGGAGCTGACACCTCCCCGACCTGAGTGGAGTTGACATAATGTACCATATTTTGTACCAGTGTAACATACATGATGTACCGTATATATCGCTTGAAATCGGTTATTGCATCGCCCCGTAAACAGGGGTGGGGGCGTATGACACAAGACACACACACACAGTACATCCGATGTAAATATAAGGGTGTGGCCTCGGTATGCGTTATACACGTTTTCAGGAGGCACCGAAGTGACAAACCCACACTCTGGCCTCAATAGAATCGCTTTATTCTCGTTCCATAAAACTGAACCAGATGTGGATGCGTGCAAACTTTCCCCTCACTCGCAATAATTTCTCCAATTACATGCAATATCCCGCTCTGTTCTATTTCCAGTATCGGTCAGGAGTCGTACATCAACGTCCCGTTCGTTGCTAGTTTGCCACTTCTTTCTCGTTCTCTCTCTCTCTATTTCTGATTTTCTTCATTTGATTTAGCACTAACCTAAGCGTGAGATGAAGCACCTAGACAATCGTTTTCACTGCCTATCATACACGAGAAGCCCAGAACGCATAGATCCCACTTGCAATTTCCAATTTGACCATAGCATACGCACCCACAGAGACGCTCAGACACGTATTCATCCGTCTTGCTTTTACCGGGCTGCCTTCACACACACGAAAACACACATAAACACACACACTAATGAATCAATCTCGTCATTCTCACAGGTTATTTTCTACCGTTACAAAACTAACGGTGCAACAGTTTGACCGCGCCTCCCTCAGCCCCCTGTTACCTCATTTGACCGTATTAGATTTAACTATCTACCCCCAACCAACCCCATTTTCTCTCTGTGTGATCCTCGAGCGGTCTGACAGAAGCATTTTGTTCGTACCGCTTCATTCCGGGTTCCATAATACAAGGGATTCCCCCCAAACACGTGACTTCAATGCACAATCAAAAACTAACACGTGTGCGCATAACAGATGCCCAAAACTACCTGCTCAATCCATCCCCTTGTCTTCCTTCCATCCCACTTCAATCCTTGCCAATCTGCAATTCTCTATCGCACTAGTGCGTGTGTGTGTGTATGTCAAGTGTTCTTTACTGACTGCTTTAGTTTGATTTGTCAACCGTCAACCACATATTTGAGGAAATCTGATATTTTTCGAATAGTCATTTTGATTTCCGTAAATGTTGGCAGTACCAGCTCGGAGAAACTGAAGCCCAGATGTGGCGTCACCGAAACCTGTATAAGGTGCTTGTGGCAGTTCTCTGAAACGTGATTGCCTGTTACTCATCTCCCATCAAAGAAATCGTTTGACATTGGTTATCTATGGGACCAACGGTTATCTGGTGAATTGTGTGTACAAACCATTCTAAGCACGAGACTTTACGGAAAGAAAGACCGTACAGGGATACAATGCAATTACCTGCTTCGGCTTCATAGATTACCCTGGCTGGGACATGTGCTACGAATGCCACCAGATAGATTGCCACGTCAAGCGATGTTTGCCGAGACAGGTAGCGGTTGGAAGAAGGTCAAGGGTGGTCAAACGAAGACCTGATATGAGGGTATGAAAACCCTAGCCAGGAGACTCGGTCACATAGGTCCCGTCAGGCCCCCTGGCTGAGGACTCCGAGATCACGGTCACCGATGGTTAGATACACTGACGCGATATGGCTGGGTGTCACAAACAGTGGTGCTCATGCATCTCATTATTCTTGTAACTTCAGTCTAAAGACAGCAACCAAAACCGGCACACCAAAGTGCATGGTTAATGGTTGTAAGAACTGAACTGAAGTTCGGCTATGGTGTTTTCTCACGCACAAGGTAGGTGAATAATGCTCGAACTCCGATTTTTGCTAATTTTTTGCAACTGACAAAATTCATAATAACCGGTTCGTAGCAATTTACTTAGTGTTGAGTCAGTATCACTTAATCCAGAACGTGAATTGAAGTGATCACCACTAGTGCTCTGCTATGTCTCATCTGTGCTTAGGTCTGATCACCCCACAACTTGACACTGGAATGTTCACAACGGTAGTCATCTCCGTTGTCAAGGGTTTCTACTTTTCTCATTTTTCAATCATTTACTCCCTTTACATCTAAAAGACTGATATACAAACAACCTTGAGCAAGTAGAGTAGTAGGGTCGTATGATCCGTCGGAAATTCGAATCTAGACTGCTTTCCGGGGGACATTTAAGCACAGAACCTCGGGAGAGATTTGTCAGCAATGTGTTCTCTTTGATAATTGCCCTTTCGAGTTTCAAGCAGAAACTGGTTCGGAACACCGCATCTTGCTATATCACGCTTTATCTGTCGTAGCCCTCCGTCTAACAGCCAGATAGAAACGCCAATCCATCCGTCTGAGTAAAGGGATGAAAAATTGGTTTCTCCTTAATTATCTTCATTGTAACTGGTTGAAGCACATGAAACTGCTCTAATTGGACGGGAATTGATAGTAAACAACCAAACAACACTTTCTGCAGTTTGTAAGGCGTGTGATTGCGTTACATGGTGATTCCCCGATACCGCTCAGATTGGGTCAGCTGAGAAAATAAGTAAAATTGCAATTGGTTTTGTTCAAACAATACGTGTTTATTGGTTTCATTTTTTATATTATTCACCTTAGTGTGGTGAATCACAATCGGCGAAAGCCGCATAGTCACGAGGACCTGCTGTTTAGCTATGGAAACCCAACAATGAGGCCCCGCTAGGTTAGGTGTGATACTGAACAGGACGACAGAAAAGCTGCCTACCGCCAAAGTTGGGTGGCGGTGGTGGTGGTGGTTTAGAATCGTAATACTTACATACCGAAATCATGCATGTACTGTATTCATATATGGTAAATAATTCTAATTGTATCCATGGTAAATTATTTTCTCCGAGTTCGTCGCTTGTTTATACGGTTCTTTGTGCACACTCGTACGCACCTTTTGAAAATTCCGCTCGCTCGCGCAAGGGCCTGTTTACACCAAAATTATTTGCCGTGAATCGCTCCCGTATCCACAGATGGGTGTATCAATACATGATACTCAATGAATCACTTACCTCTGAACTTCCTCTGAGCTTCCCTTCACCCCCACCCACCCCCTCACCATCAGTTCGCTATGCTCCGTCTTCTTTCTCATTCCGCAACTCCGTTGATTCAAATATCTGACACTGGTGTACTTTTGCCACGTAGTACAATCTATCCTCGGGAATAGATTGCAACTTTATCAAATATAGGCATCGCATGATTATTTTTAGCAGCTTCTAGTATTGGAGATGTATTTAAACCCATTTTCTTCTGCATGCGATATTCTTCGTGTCTCGATGGGTGATTAGAACGAGTTGTTCGAGATGACCGACCGGCCAACACCACGAAACCGTGCCTCAATTTTCGAATATCCTAACCCGGCAGAAGAGGATGTGAACTTGGTGTTCACGGATTTGAAAAATCGCCGCTATTCACCATCAGCTTGCTGGAATGGACGAACGCAGGAGAATGTCACGCGATCGCGGAAGTCTTCCACCCGACTGGTGAGTCTGATCAGCTATCAGCCTCTGAGTGATTCTGTTGTTGTTATTTCTGCAGCTGCTGCTGCTGTCGTTGTTGTTGTTCAATCCCGAGTTCACCTGTACCCGGGATCGTCGAACTAATTAAACCAACTCTGTGAGTCCAAGTTTCCAGCTGGCAATTGCTAAAAAGCTGGATGGAAAAGACGTACAACGTTTTTGAGAGGTTTCACTGGGTAACAGCTCAACATGATGATGGTGTTTGCTTAACTAAGCAAAATAAATTCTAAAGCGTTTCAACACCACTGTCACTATTTATAATCACCGTCACGACGAAATCGCACCTGGACGTGGTTTGCTGGCTTGTGTTCCTCCGCAGCCCAGCAAGATTTGCAGGACCACTCCACAATGTCAGATCTAATTCTACTCAACCGATCAATGGAGTGTGATCAGACAGCTTTCACTCTCACTGACTAACCACATGCTGGCTTTTCATTTGCATATCACACTCATCCCCTGGGGAGGTTACTTCAGGAAATTGACGCAAGAAGTTGACCGATTTCATGAAACTCATGCAGTGCAAATCCTATTTGCATATCGATCCCTTCATTCAAGCAGTCTTCCAGCTTTCCGAAACGGTTACCGCTCGCCCAAGGTGAGTAGGCCCCAGCCAACATTATCTTTCCGCGTTTGATTTACCTAATTGAATACTCGCGGCTAAGGATCAATCCTGAACATCGGACCAATGACTGACTCATCAAGGAACATAACCCTAACCCAAAGTCATAATGCTCCAGCCTGAAGAAATTCAAACATATGTGATGTGGTCACGTTGCTACGTACGTCACCCAACTGTCTTGTGTTCCAGATCTGTGGTTTAAAGTCATCAATTGAGACTTCCGAAAGCACCATCTCCGTCGGGTTTGTGCAGACACTTTGTCGTCGTGATAAATGGATGAAGTACACACACGCAAAGAACTTACGAGCTCAGTTCACCCTTCCTCTTAATGGTTTCTATTTGAGTATACGCCCGTCCATTATTGTTGTGGAATAATACTGAAATACCGTAAATTTGGAAAGCGGAAAACCTAATTTAATTCATTAGAGTAATCTACAATGTACTCTGTAAACGGTTTCATTGTGTCGGCCTAAGGGAAAGGCAAGTAAGAGAATTCGGATTCAATCGGTCGACGGTGCAGTCTAATTGCGAACAAAACTGTTTCGTGTACATTGCATCCCTTTCTGATTATCCAAATAATCCGTGAAAAATTGTACAATGAAACAAATAATCAAATAAACAAAAACAAAACACAACTGTTGTTCTTCTTCCGGTCCTCTGTAACTGTTTTACCCCACACCGTTTGCTTTTGTATCCGGATCCTCCATGACTGGGGATAGGGGGGGGCAGGTTAGGATATGGTCGATTAGGTTTGACAATAACCTGTGCCAGCTTTCGATCATGGGACCGAATTCACTGTTTGAAACAAAATGATGAATTGACTTGAGGGATGGTCCCCTTGCTGTGTGGTTTCTAGTAACGTGGACCAACGGCTTTTGATGGTTGAGGGAATGCTCGATGGACTATCTTGGATACATCATCTTCAAACTTACTGTCCAATATCCGCGAAACGCATCAGCGGATACGGTGGGACTGCTTTTCCTCGTCCCGGTCATCACTCACTCTCACTCACTCACTGTTCATTGAACCTCTTTGAAAACTGTCTGATTGATTGTTTTACCGGTGTTGCTTGTCGAACATCGCTGAAGAAATGACTAGGGGATAAGTGAAAGATACAAATAGACAATTTATCGTTCTAGTTCATGCACCACACCTTTTGAAGAGTCGGTGTATTGCAGAAACCACTTTGAACATTTTGGATACCCAACCCAACTGTCCATCTTGGCTGTTCATCATCACGGACTAGTTCGATATGCATCGGTGATCGTTTGTACTAACTGAACAACACACGGCTCATCTGA